AGAGTCTGATTGTCTGTTGATGAAGGAGACCTGAGTTCGATGGCGTCAAGTTCCGATAGCACCGCAGTCCTGCGGGCCTCAAGCTCTCCTGCCAACGTCTTTCAAGTGATTAGCTCTTCCGCCATCAGCCCCCAAGTGTCAAGCTCCTCTGACACCGCAGTCCTGTTGTCCTCAAGCTTTTCTGCCACCGACAATCAAGTATGAAGCCTGGAGCCCTCAAGACACTTCTTCATTTAGAAGTGCCATGCTTGAAACCAGTAGCTCAGATTGTCGGTTTCGTACATTTTCAGAAGCGTATCGGTGAAGCCTCTGACCACATGTCTAAATATAAATGGCTGCTCCTGTGGCTATTCTAAAACCGACTGGCTATCTTTGTGGGTTTCCTCTTCAGATGGCTTGCTGGTTCAGCTGCTCCTCTCTGTCCCTCAGCCTTTGGTTCAGCTGTTCCACTTCAAGATGCAGGTTGGTATTTATACGCTCCAAGGTGGTGTTTTGCTGCTCACAGGCGAGGCTTCTCTGCTGCAGGAAGATGCGATTCACCTTCAGGGTGGCGTTTTCCTCCTCCAAGTTGTTGTTTTCCTGGCTGAGGATGTTGTTTTCCTCCAGAAGTTCATTGTAATCTTCCTCCAGTTTGGTGTTCATCTCCTCCAAGGCGTTGTTGTCCTGCTCCAGGGTGTCGGTTTTCTGCTCCAAGGTGATGTTTCTCTGCTCCAAAGCGGTGCTTCTCTGCTCCAAGGCGGTGCTTTTCTGCTCCAAGATGGTGCTTATTTTCTCTAAGACAGTGCTTTTCTGCTCCAGGGTGGTGCTTTTCAGCTTCAGGGCGGTGTTTTCCTGCTCCAGGGCGTTGTTCTCCTGTTCCAAGACGGTTTTCTCCTGCTCCAGGGTGGCGTTTATTAGCTCCAAGGTGTTGTTGTCCTCCTTTAAAGTTCTGTTTATTTTGAACAGTTTTTTTAATTCCTTGTCTTTTTCCCGAAGCAGCTCGTCTTTTTCATGTGCTGCTTGTTCTATGTTCGTAACTTGAATCTTCAGCTCCTCAGTGGCTTTAATCAGAGTCTGTTTCTCAATAGGCATCATGCTGACTTCTTTCAAGATGCCTTCGAGTTTCTCTGTCTCTCTAGCTAAGGTCCGTTGGGTTTTCTCGTTTTGGGAATCAGAAGACGATGCCTTACTGCTCTCACTCATTCTTGATCCTTTTTGTCTGGATAAATCCAAAAACTGCTCAATGTAGGAGACAATCCTTGTACTCTCCGATTTCTGCAATGGTTATGACCGTGCAGCTTTGTGATGTCACTCTTGTGTAGCAAGAGTGACATCACTTCACGTGATGTCACAAATTGATGTCACTACCTCAGCAGGACAACTAGAAAACTGCTTAAGTTTGAATAAAAACAAACTTTACAGCTGAATGCAGCTCTGCTTAGCTGATAGCCATTGGAGACAGTTCAACTGGTAATATATCACCAATGCTGAAATCTGCACTTGGGAGACAGCGGCTCTTGAGGACAATGGACTGGACAGCAGGGTGCAAGGACCAACTTTCAAAAGGAAACATTGTGCCCGAAAACAGAAGAAGGGGAAACGGGTGGGCGTGTTGACCCAGCTGATGCCTAGAAAGCCACCAATTCTGACTCTCTTTCTGGCCAATGTCCGCTCACTGGGTAAGAAAGTGGATTTGTTAGATCTAAGGTTAAGAGTTTCTGCAGAGATGAAGAACTGTGCCGTTCTTTGCCTAACGGAAATCTGGCTTAACAACAACATGCCAGACTTAGCCTTCCAGATCAACGGTCTTCAGTTATTCCAAGCAGACCGCGACCAATGGTCAGGAAAAACACTGGGAGGAGGACAATGTATGTAAGTGAATGAAGGTTGGTGTACGAACTGTGGCCTGGTTGCAAGCTGTCAGCCATACTATCTGCCTCGGGAGTTTACTGCCACCATGTAAACCATTGTTTACATTCAGCCGGGTGCTAACGGCAACGAAGCATCAAGCAGCTGTACAGTATAGATGAAGGCCTGGGGTGCCTTATGGAGCCACTGACTTATTTTGGATTAAACAGTACTGCAAATAATTGATATTCATTTTAATTGTACTTTTTGATTAGTTGTTTTTAAGACTAATTGTGGATTTAAATAGCATTTCACTGATGCTGTTTTCCCATAACATATAATTACCCAGTAATATTTGTATTTTTTCTGTCTACTTAGCTTCTTTAATTCAAAAACACGGTGGACCGCCGGTGGACCACCTCGGCGCCCCGACCACTGGGCTTAGCGAGTTTTCTGGGGGAAACCCTGAATGCTTTGGCAACACTTTTACAATTTCACTTTAAGTGGCTATTGCAGATTTGCCTTCAGATTTGTGTAAACGGCAACACTCCTCTGGGTCTCCTTCAGCAAACTGAAATGACAGAAAGCTTTAAAGGAACAAGGAGAGATATCACATCCTTGCAAGCTGTAAACTTTCAATAGATGCTGTGTGTGCAGAATAGAAAATAGAGTAAGCTGTGAGCATTTAACAGACCTCATTTGATGCATCGATATACGCTTCAAACTTATTTTATTCGGTTAAACTGTTTTGTTTTTTCTTTTATGAAGGTGTTCGTATGTGCAAGTAAAATTAAGGTGGGCTGTTATGAAAAAGCTTGGGATTAATCACGTACACCTTATATTGTTCTATGAATAAGTTTATATATATATATATATAACTCATAAATCTCATACATCTCATAAATCTCATTGTTTTTTGCACAAACTCAGCTCTAAATACAAAGATGTTCATTATGAATCTTCACCATCTTCGTGTTTAGATAATTTTATTCAAATGCAGAAACCATTTCAACTGTTTACCCCAAACATCTTTCTCACTTTCTCACTGAGAGAAACCAAATTATTGCTGTTTGTCAGTAAATCCAGATAAATTTATTTCATCATGCTATGATGATCCTTGGTAAGTAGGCAAGACAGGAATCAGACAACCAAGAATATTTTTTCCCCCTCAGGGTCTGATTGATAAATGCTCCTTCTTAGAAAGTAATTGCCTCTTCCTAACTGTACTGTGTTCATCATGTGTACTGTTGGGTAAGACTGAGCTCCACACATCACAGACTTTAAGACAATCCTACCATCTAGTGGCCAAAAAGAGACACTATCTTCTTACAGAATCAAATCTTGATAAAACTCAAATGAGTAAAACAAAACATAAAGGACATGGCATGCCAAAATGTTGGTGTATACTTACAATAAACTGCAATAAACATACCTAAATAATAATAATGATCATACCTATATAACAAGAATAATACAACTGTGATACATTAATGAGAATATTTTAATTCTTGGAGCACTTTGCAAACTATCAATTGTTAAAACCCTAATTGATAAGGTGTGTTTTGATAATTGATTTAAATGCAAGTGGTTCTGGAGAGCCTCTAATGTAAAGTGGGGGTTTGCAGTGGTGGAGGTCATGTCTCTCCACATTGTGACAAACTTGCAGCAGGATGGACTGTAGCACTAAGGGGGTATTGTATAGCAAATTTGATTGTATCTATGATTTTATGGGGAGTTACAGGGCTTATGGACTTGGTGGATGTAGACTTGGATGATATAAAAATCTATGGTGGCAAATGATGTGGACAGTGGAGATAATGTAGAGGATAAAAAAGGAAAGGACTAAGCATTCACGCTTGGGGTTTGATTGACATTTCTCTAATAGTTTTCTTTCTTTCCTGTTTGCTTCTTTCATCACCAGGCACCAGCGACCCATATGTGAAGTTTAAAATCGGAGGGAAGGAAGTGTTCAGAAGCAAGACGATCCACAAAAATTTAAACCCAGTGTGGGATGAGAGAGTTATCCTTTTGGTGGAAACTCTCAGGGAGCCTCTATATGTCAAGGCAAGTCTGTTTTTGAATTTCAGATGTCATTGTGCCCAATGACACAATGACATCTGTGTAAGTAGTTGTTGCGTACTACTTACACAACTATTAGCAAATAGTAACGGTTGTTTGTGCAAGTAAAAGACTGCCTATCTCTTTTACTTTGTGACAGTCCTCTTTCAGAAGTGCTGCAACTCTTTGAATAAATTCCTGTTCTTATTTTTTTTATTATTATTATTTAAATTTGAAGACGCTTACAAATTCAAATGACATCAAACACGTCACACTTCTGGCTTTATTAGCGTGATTTCTGGGAAAACATTTTATTTAATTTTGAGGCGATGAACTTAGTCAACTTTTTGTTAACTCTAGGTTTGGAGCTGCAACCCTTTTAATACTACAAGACATCATTGTTTGATGTTTTTACACATCAGCAGAATCTCCACAGTTTCTGTTGTTTACAACATGGTTTTAATTACTTTACAAAGTTTTCCTTTTTTTAGACTTTATTGCAATCAATAGGAAGGGTCATAGCTTATTATTACTTGAACATAATTTGAAAAGTGAGAGAAGTGAGTAGCTCGAAATTTGATCGCTAACTTTGTGTGTGTTTTTGTCGATCAATGTGTAAAGTCCTAAAAGTTGTGGTTGCTATTTTTTCACAAAGCTTGACAAGGGGAGAAAAAAAAAGTGTCTGACATTAGAAGTAAAATATGTTTATGGTTTTCTTCTGACAGTCGCTGTGTCTCTCTGCAGGTGTTTGACTACGACTTTGGTCTTCAAGATGATTTCATGGGCTCAGCATATCTACACCTGGAGTCACTGGAACATCAAAGGTCTCTTTGGCTCTTTGTTTCCTTGTTCTTTTTGTTACCATTTTTGTAAGCGGTTGTAATTACTTTTTGTCACACCAGATTGTATTCCCTGTATAGATTAACCAACCCCTTAGTAATAGGCAAGTGCAAAGAAGTCATAATGTTTTAAACAGAAGTAATGCTGTCTGTTTTTTTTTTTAACATTTGCTGTGCTTTAGAAAAGTATTACCCCTCAAATATTCTCTAAAATGTTTTAAAAAGTGACTTTTAATTGTGTTCATCCCTTTAATCAGCTATGCTGATATGTAACCAATTGCCATCAGAAGTAACCTAATGAAATAAACCCAGTTTAAATCCATCTGTTCTGTAAAATTTACAGGGTTATATTATAAAACATTTATGAAAAAGTGCATCATGACTACCAAAGAACACAGAAGATAGATCTGGGATAAAGGTTTGGATAAAGTTAAAGCAGGATTCCTTGATAAAAAAACAACATCACAACATGCGCATCACCTGTGAGATATAAACGTCTTGCAGTGGACTGTTCAGTCCAATCGGAGAAAATGGAAAGAGTCATGTCAAAGATGCAGACCTTCCAACATACAGCTGTCCAGCTAAACTGATGGACAGATCAAGAGGCCCATGGTTACTCTGGAGAAGGTGTTGAGATCCAGCATTTATTTAAATGCTACTATTAGCCATGTGCTCTGCAAATATAGCCTTCAAGGATAGGTACCAAGAGGAAAGCCATTGTTAAAAGAAAGTCATACAAACACCCAGTTACAGTTTGCTACGAACCTTATACAGGTAAGCATATAATATGCATATGTGCTTCATATACTATATATTATGATGTTTAACAAAACGCTGTATCCTGACATGATTGTCTTGTTCAAAGATAGTCCGTGGCTGCCCTCTCCTGGTAGACTTTTGAAATTTGCTTCACATGGAACCACACAAGTTACAAGGCTTAAATTAAGCTGAAATTCAAACTCTCATACACATTTTGCTAGTCGTTGAATTTCCAAAGGCTTTGCGTGGCATAACAATTATTTATTTAATCTGAACATCTAAAAATAGTTAAGAAAAATCCCAGTACATTTCATTAACCTCCATCATTGTAGGTCGCTGGATGTGACTCTGGACCTGAAGGACCCACAGTACCCTGAGCATGACCTGGGTAGCCTGGAGCTCACCGTCACTCTGTCGCCAAAGGAAGGAGACATAAGGGATGCTGTAAGACATTCACGTAAAATCTGTGGGGATTGTTCTGATCATCTGACTTTTTTCCCCTCACACGATTGATGCCCTCCATGCAGTTCTAGATCTCTTCACCCGATCCTCTTTGGTATCACAGCTAGTAATAAACCTTATAAAAACTGTTCAGTACCTTGCAAAAAGTATTTGTCCTTTTGACAGCTACAATGTCAGTGTATTTTAATTTGGATTTTATGTGATCAACACAATTTGTCATGTAAACTGTGATTTGGAAGGAAACGGTATGCCGACTGTGCTTCGATTCAGATAAATAAAATCCAACTCAAATAATTGCTTAAAGAGATCTCCGAAATAGTAAGAAGAGTGTCATTTTAGCGAAGCGTCATGAAGATCAAGGTACACAGCAGACAAGTCAGGAATAAAGTTGTTTTAAAGAGATTTAAATCAGGATTAGGTTATAAAACAATGTCCCATGATTCAAATGTCTCACAGAGCAGCGTTTCTGTCGTCTGACAGTGGAAAGAGTGTGACTGCAAAGCTGCTACGGAGATCCACCTAAACTTACAGGCATGAGGAGAGCATTATTCAGAGAAGACGTCAGGCATTTTAGGAAGAGTGGCACAGAGACAGCAGAGTCCAGGAGAAAGATGGTTCTAAGAAATATTTACAATGTTTGCAAAAAAAAATAAAAAATCGTGTACCATTTTCATTTCACTTTATGTGCTATTTTGTGTTGATCTAGCACATAAAATAGAAATAAAATACAATGCAGTATTTATAAAAAAGACAAAAAAACAAACAAAAAAAACGTGCAATTGTTCATGGGCCTGAATATTTTTGCAAGGTTCTATAAGCAATGGCAAGACTACATAAGTTATATGTTGCTAACAAAATTCGTGAACAGAACTGTTAGTTGGTAAACTGGTTTACCGCACATCAGAAGCGCGTGTAATTGATGTTGAACTGGAAAGAGTTGGCTTCCTTTAGCTACAGCTTCTGGAAACTTTACAAGTCAGCAAACACAAAGGCATAAACACAAGAGCAGTTCATTTGTTGTGCAGAAAAGCTGCATGTTCAAAGAGCAGAAGATCGTCATTACTAATTATTTTTGGCTCGTGCCTCCACAGACGCGCTCAGTGATTCAGAGTTGCATTTATTTCTGTTCAATTATTTGTTTGTTCAATTGGATTCCTGCATGTTCTGCTCTAATCAGGGCAGAGTCATGAGGGACATATTTTATTCCCTTTGATCTGATGTCTTAATTCTGCTGCTTATTCAGGGCTCTGGTTCACAGAAAACCCTTTTGACAAAATAAATAAACTCTATTTAGGTTAAGCATCACTTTGGGTTTCTCCTACTGTGAAAAGAATACGGACCAGGACTGAGGGGGCATCTCTGTTGCCATCTAGTGGTCTGAAAAAGAAAACGTCGATTTTCACCATTTAAACAAATACGTTTAAAGAATGAATCAGCAATATGTAGCTGATTTATGAGATGTTACTGTGAAAAAGTCTTGAGCCATTCCTCATTTTTTTGTATTTTGTTAAAAATATACATTTACATTGTTTGTATTTCTTTAGAAAGTGGTGAAAATGTTTAAAGGTACTTATATATAAAGGGAATATTAAAGAACAAGGTACGAGGCAGTGATGCAAATCTGGGACAGGATCTGATTTTAATTTACAGTTGTATACCCAAGATCAGAAAGGGTCTTATGAGAGGATTACCAAGGTACAACAAGAGTAACAGTATGAAAGTTATTCACAAACAAAGTGTAAACTAGTCTGAAAAGGTGGACAAAGTGGACATTTTGGTTTCAATAATCATTTAGATGTTACTGAATTAAATTCGGGGCATCTAAGTAACACCAATTTACAATAAATGTCTCGAATCATTTTACAGATCCAATTTATATAAATACACTCAGTGCAATAACATAGACAGACAATAATCATATCCTAAGCAATGCAGTAAAGTTCAGTTTATTATGCAAATTGCTAACACCTTTTCTACCTAATTAAGCTCAGCCGGTTGGATTGTGCCATCTTTGCAGCAATCCCTCATACTAAACATGCATGTGGTTAATGATGTACTAATAGAAAGTGGTGGGAACAAGTAGTTGAGTCCTTGGATTTTTGACTATTTTGTGCTTTTTTTTTTTGATTTGGTTAAATCTTTCTTTAAAATAAGCAATATGGCTAAACGTGTGTGTTTGTGTTCACTCGAGGTGAGATTTAAATCATTTCAATAAATGGTTTGTACTTGTAAATGTACAGATGATTTCTGAGGCGATCTCTGTGAACCAGTTTAGACAGCCAACCGGAGCTCTGCTGCTGCTCCACACAAAATGTTTCACACACTCTGATGAATATATCGAGCACACCCTGCCAATTTGTGGTGGCCTAACTTACAAAGCTTGCTTCTGCATATTATGTGTTGCTGCTGCTTTATTCCTTTTCAGCCCCTTAATTACCCCGACACCTCCATTGGGCTCAGAAATCCTCACTTCGCGTCCTGACATGCAGAACACGTGTTTAGGAGGTGGGGAGTGAATTCATCCTTCCGTGATATTTTGATAGTGCAAACTAGACTTATTCTTTATTGGTTAATAAATAAATATTTAAACATCTTTGCATAAATTGTCTATCTAGTATATAATAAAACCTTGATAGAGAGAGCACTTTCACTTTACCATGATTGTTTAATAAATCCCCTTAACAAGCAGTGTAATGCCCACGACCCGTTTTTACTTTTTTGCGGGTGATGGTTAAAGGGATAACAGCAGGTACCAACAGGTAAAGGTAATAAAAGTTAATTAAATTGATAAGCAGGAAAGTACCTCTGCATAATGATTCATCATTCTGCGCAGTTTATAACATTTCTGATTAGCAGCCATTTCAGTTCTGCACAATTATCTCAAACTTTCTGCTAGTGCAGTAAAAGAAAAACTGAGGGGAAAAAAAATATGTTTAGCGATTATGTCAGGACATTATGAAGAAACTTGTCAGATTCATAGAGGGTTTTTTTTTGCCTGTTAAAGTTTTCCACAAACGTTTGTATGACTAATTTTTGCTTTTCTGGTGAATTCATACAGATGAGGGTTGGTTCATGACTTTTGCCCGGTACTGCACATCATCATTTTTGTTTGCTTGGTAGTTTGTAGTGACATATTTACATTTTATGAAAAACATGAAAACAAGATCCAAATCTGACAAAATGTTTTTTTTTTCCCCCATTACCTTTTATTCCCCGTTAAATGCCATGAAAACAATACATTGTCAGCAGTGAAATGTTTACAAATCGGCTTTTACTGGGGTAATGAAATACCAAAAATTTTGAAATATGTCATTAGGGAATGTTAACGTTAAAAGTCTGTAGCAAAGCAACAAATATTTTAGACTTTAAAGGAACCTGGTTTATTTCACAAGGCAAAAGGTATTGCATGGAGTCTGCAGTACAATATTTCCTCAGAAAAACTACAAAATTAGAAAAGAGCAGTGTTTTTGTTTTATTGGATTTAGCAGTCGAAATAAGAAAGAAAAATAGAAATAGAGATAGACGTGCTGTAGGGGAGGTGCATAATTGATTTTGCTGTATTTTTGGGCACATGCCTGTGTTTATGCATACATCATTACACCATGTAATAACTCTGCTAATACACTTTCTGCTTACTTAACTTGCATGATGGTAACTGCCCCCACTTTCCTCATCTAACCCTCACTTTGCTTCAGGTCAGGGCTGTTATCTAATCTTGGTGCACACCGTGCCCTTTGCCCTTTGCCCATGACGGTAGGAGGCGCTCTGTAACCGCTTTGTCTCATTTACAGACCATGCTTTTGAGAAGAAACTGGAAACGATCTAGTAAGGTAAATTAAAACAGCATGTAACTCACCAAACCTCCGATTCTGCTGTAACTCCACCACCGACCGCACTGCACCTCGCCTATCCTTCCTCACTGGTGTCCCGGTACATGGATGGAGTCTCCTATCCCTCTCATCCTCCTTTTCTTCCTTCCACGATGGTTTTAGCATCCGTTTTTTTTCTCAGTTCCCATTGTCACCTGCTTATTTTCCACAAGCTGCAATATACTACCTGCTATTTGCGCTAATAGAGGGCATGCACATTTTATGGTTTTTGGTTGCTTGTGCAACAACAGGCTGCCTTTGCCCTAAAGATTTACTTTAAGGCAAATTAAGTAGGTACACATCAAGGGCGGAGGGAAATTATTGAGTTTTTTAACTTTGCTGGCTATATAACACAGTTTGTTTCTGTAAAGAAAAGGAATGACAAATTGATGTTGATGTACAAGCTTGTCACATCATTGCACTAAAATTGGACATGGACATTTAAAGTCAAAAGAATTACTGAATCAGTAGGACTGAAGTGTTTTCTCATTTGATTTTATTAGTCATTGTCTTACTGACCCGTATTTACAAAAAAGCTATTTGCTCTTTGTGACACTTAAAAGTTTCAGATCATCAAAAATATTTTTACTGTCAGACAAGGTTGACCTGAGTCATGTTTAAGTGATTTCTTGCTTTTGCAGGTCAGTCAGTAATACTGGAGTCAGTTACTTTTTCATGAAGGGCTCCGTGTGTTTGAATGGCTTTTTTACTTTAACCAAAAATAGGTTGAAAACTTTGTATTGACTCTGATTATCTTTGTCTAATATTAAAGTTTATAGAAGTTAACTTTGTCTAAAGAGAATCCCCCCCCCTCCCAGAAATAATAAGAACGGAAACACTTTTTCACTAAACTGTCCTGAACGCCTCTTTGGGTGTGTATGCTCTTCACCTTTGATGTGTGTAACATATTGCAGACTCTGTGTCAGAAAATAAAGCAGTTTAGGATTATCGAGGACTCTTGCCCAGCTAAACAGCTGGAAAATGTGACTGATCTTATTGCATTTTTGAACTTTTTTTTTTTTTACCCCCCATCAGTTGCAATTATAGTTTTGACTTTATTTTCTGTTTCGCATATTGCCACACTTGGAATAAAGCGCTTCATTTTGACTTTTGTTTCTTCTGTTGCTTTTGATTGCTGTCAGGTCAAACATGAAGCATGCTGATCGAGACTCTACTCTTCCTCTCCTTTTTTTGCTCGTGCATGAATCTCGTTAACTGTTCCTTTGTCGGCCATATTTAGCAACAATGTTGACAATTTTGTGCTCAAAATTGGATTCGTTTCATTTGCCCATATATCAAGTTTCTGTTGAGGTGTCATGCGACTAAGAAGAAAAGGTGTTGTACTTTCAGGCCTTTCACTACATTTCCTGAAACAGGATTAATGTTTCTATAGCTCGCAATAAAGATGTCTGCTGTGCATGCCAGGTTGGATTTGAGGATACAAACTTCTGTGAAGTGAATATTTTGAACCCTCTGACCAATGTCCATTCTGTGACTAACGAGTTAGCTGATGTTAGTTTTCCCTCTGCTGCTTACTGCCTCCTCCTCTGTGTGCTGGACTACACAGAGTGTATAGTTGTTTTCAAACAGCCAATTTTCATCCGATTAAGGCATCTTAATCTGAACTTTTAAAACTGGCAAAGAAACAGTAATGGAGTCATGGCACTAAGCAGACTCTCAGTTTCTCTGTGGGGTTACAGATTCTCAGTTAAGAAATACATGTACATATTGTTTGGGTTTCTCACACTTTGTCACATTACAACAGCAAGGTCTTTAGGAGTATGTTTCTGCTAGCTTTGTACATCTACACAGATATTATTATTATTATTGTTTTTGTTTTTGCCAAAATTATAAAGTCTTGCCTCAGCTTTGCAATTGGATTTAGGTCTGGACTTTGACCATACATAATGTTCCTTCAACTTCCCAGTTTTGCACTTCTTTTTGTTGATCTGCCGCTTAAATCTCCAATAACATATACCTTACTTTTGTGGCTGTAACGTGACAAAGTGTGGGAAAAGCTGAAGAGGTATGGATACTTTTGCCAGGGTTTGCAGATAGCAGTGCAAGAATAAATGGGTCATGTTCTGTCAGGACAAAACAGTGACCTCATCATTAGCATACAGCAGCTAGCGAGCAGAATTAATGGGAGATGTGGGAGTAACTGCATGGTAAGATGACTTCATTGCAGGGAGCTATTCGCAACTGTTTAATGTCTGGAGAATGGAAATTAAGAGGCTCTGTCTCCAGATCAAAGGCCTGCACTCACGAGGCAGGGTTTGTTCAGAGTTTAATGAAATTCACCCGCAAAACAAAAGCTATGCTAATAAACTCTGCCTAACGAGGAAGGAGGAGAGAGAGGGTGAGGTGGAGACGGAAGGAGGATTTGTATTTGCTTGATAAATAAAGCCTAGATTTTGTTCTAGTGGAAAGTACTGACATTATTCAAAGAGAGGTTAAATAGGCTTTTTAGGAGCTAAAAAACCCCCCCAAAAAACAGTTGAGGTGGAAAACATACCTGGAAAACATAGAAGAACCAGTCTAGATTTAAGTTTCCACACACAAAATTAAAAAAGGTAAGCAGCGTCACATAGCTAAGCCAGATTTTGAGACAATTCACTGGAAACCTTTTCACATTGGGTCTACTTTACACACCAAAAACTAGAACAATGCAATCTGATGTACGCTAAGGTGCTTTTGTTAAAAAGTAATTTTTAAAATTTACAATAACCCCCTGATGGGATGTGAAGAGATTAAAACTTAAAAATTAAAAATAAACTCTGTTAAATTATTATGTTTGGTTCTCACTTGCAATCTTTTTTTTTTTTTTTTTGGTTCTGTTTCTGGGCTGCATTAATGAATCCGAAGCTGGTTATTGCCCTGAAATATACCAAAAGCCCCAAATTTGTGTTTTGGGGTCAAGATTTTTTTGTTTTATGTTTGTTTGCTTATTTGGTGTCTGTTCCACACAAGTGCTGATTAGGAATCTCCATTTTGTGAGAAATAATTCTGTATTTGTGTGTTTGTCTGCAGTATCAGAGTATGAGGCTCTCGGATGTGCACAGGAAAGCCCAGCTCTGGCGAGGCATCGTCAGTGTCAGTCTAATCGAAGGTCGCAACCTGCAGCCCATGGACGCCAACGGCTTCAGTGATCCTTACGTCAAGTTCAGGATGGGTCATCAAAAGTACAAGAGCAAGGTAAAGGCGTAGCTGCTGAATATGTCAAATAATTACATGAAATCACCTTATATAATAATGCTATGAAAGCTTTAAATATACTCTTAAAAAAAAAATAGATGGCTTGATTTCATAAAGCTTGCCCTGAAGCTATTCAGACTTCTTGTTCAACTATTTTTATTAAATGAAAAATTATTTTCCGCTTATTTGTATATTACTGAATAGAAAAACAGCTCAAGTATTTCAGAGTAAACATAGAAAATCTTGACATGTAGCAATTAGACAAATTTCCCTTTTTCCATTTGTATCACTCTTCAATTTTTTATCTTTTCATACCACAAGAAAATATAAATCTTTTGCGTCCTTTTTTTTTTTTTTTTTTTTTTTACTTATTACTATAATACTTTTAAATCAAATGCACTGCAATACCTTTGTGTCAAAATGTATAAATGTATATGACATTTACCCTTAAGCCCCAAATTATTCACAACCCTGGTAAAGCTTTTAATTTGACCACCATATTTCTTTTGACTGCAAGTTATATTAACATTTTGGAGTGACCCAATGTGACCATAATCTTATGGAGAATCTGCAGAGGGACTAAAAGATTAGGGTGATGGCAAAGAGGCTTTCAAACCAAAAAGACTTGGAGCTCATCTCCATTGGAAACATTCAAAAAAGCTGGTCATCTTTAAGCAGGCTTTGATTGTTGTTGTGTCAGTAAAGGCTCTTCTATTCATTACGGAGAAGACCATAATCATTTTTGACATTTTTTTAGTAAAATCTGAAAAAAATCTGAAAATTTTTCAGAAGGGATTTTTTTTTAAAAATTAGTACTGTTTAGCATTGCTTCACTCTGTTTTGAGGGATATCTCTCTCATTCTCAGAAACTAGTTTATTATTTAAATCTAAATCTAAATCCGGCAGCTGGAGTGTAGGATTTAACAGGTGTGTTGCAATTAAGTGAGCAAAGAGGCAACTGTGTTTTATTCAGACAATTCCCAAAACACTAAACCCGCAATGGAGAGAGCAGTTTGATTTCCACCTGTACGAAGAGCAGGGAGGCTACGTGGACATCACAGTCTGGGACAGAGATGCTGGCAAGAAGGATGACTTCATGGGCAGGTACAGTAATCTTCACCAGTCACTTCATTTCCTCCTTTTTTTTTTTATCGAATGCAGCTCTGTAAAATCAGGGACGAATTAGATTTTTGGGGCTTTCTTGTGTAATATTAGTCTTAGACAAAAAAGATGTCTCACATCCAGAAGAGCTATTTATCATTCTAATCTAAAGTGGTTATGTTTTTTCTTCTTACTGAGCTGCTCATTTTTTAACCCCTGTTCAAGTTGAATTATTGCAGTGCATAGCGTAACTATGCAAATTTAAACCCACTTTAGCAAACCTTTGCTTTGAAGGGCATGCCAGAAACCAAGTCATGTCATTTTTATTGGGCTGCCATTTTCACACCAGATGCATTAAGGCCATGCCAGAAAATCAATTCAGTTGAGAGGATGCTTTTAAGTGCCTACTAAAAGGTATAAAATATGTCAGCTTTGCTTAAGTTGTCTTCTGTTGCTTACCTTTTGAACGCTATGAATTATTATTTGTTTTCTGTTTTTAGGCTCTTATCACTGCTCCCCCAAAAGCAAGGAGAACACAAGTTCTTATTGAAATCATCAAACACAGCCAAGCGCAGTTGGTGCAGTAGGTTCAGCTTTGTGTTTCTTGCTGTATTTTAGGTGTACTATCGACCTGTCGCTTCTCAGTAAAGAACACACTCACAAGCTGGACTTGCCGCTGGTGGAAGGCGAAGGCGTTCTGGTGCTGCTGGTCACACTCACCGCATCGGCCGCGGTTTCAATCTCAGACCTGTCCGTCAACATGTTGGATGATCCACATGAAAGGCACCAGATCATGCAAAGATATGTAAGTTTGGACAGTATGGATATGAATTAATGGGGAGAAAAAAAAAATCAAAGATTGATGTAGCAGAATGCTTTTCTTTTATAAGAAAAAAAAAAGATCAAAGTTCATGCAAGTTTCTCAAAGGCACTATGGCTTTTTGCCCAGGGTGGCAAATTACAAGAGGGGCATTATTAGATATTAGAGGGCTATTTCTGTTTTTAACATAACAGGCCAAAACAAATCAGACCTCTTCAGAATTAATATGTGCTATATATCTAAAATTCTATCTACAGTTTTCCTGTATACCCTTTAAATAGCAATAATAATAATAATAATAATAATAATAATAAAATATTTTATTGTCGTAATTTGAGTAACACGAAACACACGTTTCTAACAACACATTTTTTCGATCATTAGTTTGCAAACCTCTTCTAATAAAGTTATTTAAACTTATGGGACATTTATCATTATAAGTAGCGTGAACTTCACTGGCTGTAAGGTTGATATTTACAGGCATGGTTACATACAACACAGATAAAAAAAAAAATTAGGAATCATAAGGACCACAAGAAATTGTGCAGACTGATGTGGTAAATGCAGCTTCTTATGCATTAGTGGCATAGGTGAAGCTGTCAGAATATAACTTGCCTAATTCCTTGTTGCCATTAAGCTTACTTTGTTAGGCATGAATACAATAGTAGAAAGAGTAGAGGATCCATCTGCTCTAACACAATGACTCTAAGTCTTTGTCTTAGTCTCATTCACCCATCACTCCTCGTCACTCTTTGCTACAAAGACCCCCGGATGGCTCTCATCAAGAGGTCTGACTCCCTGACAGCTCTCATCCCTGCACATGAAAACTGCTAAAACATGTGACAAAACCTCCACGTTTGACATATTGCAGGACACGATTGGATTTCAGTGACCGATACCGCCCTGCTGGTGTGTATTCACACCTTCCGACGTGTGGCCAAACATCAGTGCATTGACCTACATACATGGCCGTGGTGGTGCCTTGTTGGCTAGCCACAGGAGGTCGTCCGTTTTGCTCGCCGCTGCAGCGACCACCTCGAATCAAAAGGTGGAGCTCTAGGACCGAGACAGAACCACGCCGAGTTCCTCCTGAAAGCCACAAAACGACGGCAGAGGGAATAAGCGCACTTGTGTGTGTGTGTGTGTGTGTGTGTGTGTGTGTGTGTGTGTGTGTGTGTGTGTGTTTCCAAGAATGTGTGTAATGGGGGCGAGAGGTAAAGGGTTAGGGTTGCATCGGGAAGGGAAGGCGTGTAAAATGAAAAGAAAAAGCTATTTCACCTCTCTCACAACTCACACAGACCCCGTTTTTCTGCTCGACCAAAGGCGGCACATTTTACTTCCCTCACCTACCTTTTTTTGCCTGCCACCTCCTCTCTCCTGCTCTCCCCATTTCTGTCCCACTCTCAGAGCAACCTCAGCTCTTTGTCTGCCTCTGCCGTGGCCTTCCTTTGAGATGAAGGGATGGAAAGATAGAGGGAGTCGGGAGGGGGGGGGGTGGAGAAAGTAGGGGGTTGCAGATGGAGGGGCACAGTAAGGTCAGTTTGAAGACTTGAATGGTCTCTGCCTATTAACATATTCCTTTTCCCCCGACTGGCAGTCTTTCAGTTGGAGAATTTAATAAAGATGTACCTTATCAAAGAGCTCTGGTTAGACCAAGTACCACCACTAATATATAACAGTGTTGCTGAAAGCCCGCTAATCTCCCCAACGTGCGCGCGCGCGCGTGTGTGTGTACTGTACGTGCATGTGCAGACACCATTTTACTGACTGATATTTATCAGCCTCGAATCAGCTGTGCAGCACAAAGCATCCGCTACTGCTAATCGCAAGCGAACATTCGCATGCAGGCGCGTCCAGAAACGGTCGCTACCTACGGTGTGTCGGCTGCGTCTCATAAAATGCAATGTGTCTGTGGCGGGGGGGGGGATCAATACTGTTATCATCACAGCTATAAAGAGAAGATAGATTTACAAACTGCAATGAACCAGAATATGCAACCTAATAATGAAAACGCACTTTTAGAAGGTTTTAGTTGAAAGTAGTGTGCAGCAGGGATTTTTTTTTTTTTTTACTTTGTATTTTTATATTTTAATGTTTTTAGACCCAGAAATGTCTGTGTCACTGAGAAAGATATTATTCTAATCCACTCCTCAAATGATCACAGTGAGGTGTTACTTTTAATTGATGAAAACAGAAAACATACACCTGAGTGGACTCTTAGCATCCTTCTCATTGCAGCTTGCTATCTCGTTATAACACTACTGAAGATACAGATGTGCACCAAATCATAAAATGTTCATCATTTTTCAACAACATCCAAATAATGGCTACGGACACCTCAATATCTGAAAGTATAAGCTCTAATTTACTGTGGTACTGTTTGATCTTAGATCAAGGATCTTAGCACTAGCATTAAGAAGTCTTAAATTACATATTCATCATTAGCATAATTAAGCATTAGCATTTTTCATTGCATTGGCCCTAGATGCAACGTCACACCATGCTTGCGAAAGAGAGAGTGTTACACAACTCTGCAGGTAAACTGGACTTGAAGACAAGTGTGGAGTTGACATTTACAATTGTCTTCAGCTTTTCTTGTTCTCTGTCATGGGTCCTAAGTTATGGAACGACTTGCCTTTGCAGGTCAGAGAGGCCCCTTCACTGTCCACTTTTAAAGCTCGTCTTAAAACCCATCTATTTTACTTGGCTTTCAGCTCCAGCGGGATCTAGTTTTAAATGGTATGTTTGTTTTTAAACTGTATGAGTTTTTATCTTTTATTTATTTTTATTAATTGTTATGTTGTGTTTTAATGTACAACACTTTGTATCAGCTGTGGTTGTTTTAAAGTGCTTTATAAATAAAGTTGGTATGGTATGGTTAGCTATTTGCATTAGAGGTTATTGTGGTTAGCATTACTCACTGTAACAGCAGCCAGCTGTGTGTATTCCTGTGGAGTTAGTAGAGTAACACAGAGAATTGATGTTTTCAGAAGGAAAACAAAGCAACTTTGCTGCAAGTTTCTCAGCTTCCTATCGCTAAGAGTCTCCTTCCCTGGTTAAAAGCAGGACACAGTCAACGTGCCTTCATAGAAAATAGTTTTTTTGTTTTTTTTTAAATCTTCCTCTGTGACTGAATTTTACATATTTCAGCAATGATAAGAGCGTTGTTGACAGGATGCGGTCACTGATTGGAAAAAGATCAGATTGTTCCTGACCTGCAAATCACTGGCCAGTCAAGTGTAAAATTCGCTCAGGTCACCGGCTGATTGATGCACCTGTACATGAGTATACATGTCGTGTATTTGGGATTACATGCATGTACTCACACCCACTGTCTTATACCATGCACTGCACTGATGTGGCTGCCTAACTGCAACCTTTCCTTCATCCCTAATTAGTTGTTCCTCAAAACTAGAGAAGGACACAGAAAGGGAGGTAAAAAGAGAGAAAGAGATTTATGCATTATGATGGCAAAGGAGCACGCACACTAATGGCTCTTAATGGGCCTGAGGTGGCCACGAGATGGGTGGATGAGACAAGGAGGACGGGATGACCTCCACTGAAGTGGTGGCACTCCACCACCCGTGTACGTGCACATGTCAGCAGTACCTCTCCTACCCACTCTGGTGCACTCCTCCAAGAGGAAGTGAAAGGACCCAACCTGGGCAGGAAGTGAGAACCAGTAAGAGGCTGCATGACGAGCATCGAGCAGCTTTCACCGAGACTCTTGGCACATAGTGATCCTGATTTAAATGAGTGGGAAACCGTGGAAACAGGTGTTAGAATGTGGCTTTTTGTTTGAATCGGTACCACTGTTTGATCAAATATCCCATGAACTTCTGGGTGCAGGGCAGATGCTGCGAGTGTGTTTCTGAAACGCAGCCCTGACGAAATGTGACATGCTGCAAAGGTGACAGTGAGTCATAAGGCTGTGCCAGCTCTGATTCATTTGTGTGTTTATACGTCTGTGGAGTGTGACAGAGGCAGAAAGAAGATGTCATGGTGACGGGCTGTCAGTCACACAGAGGGCAGAGGGTTCGTCTTCTGAAAGCCAACTCTATCCGTAATGTGTCCTCTGTTTTCTGTTCGTCCCTCCTCTTCCTTTCCGTCTTCTTCTCCACCATCGCTCCACCTGCACGCAGACGAGAGGAGAAATGAGCATGGCTGTTGGTCCTCTCGTCTGTCCGTCATCCTACCTGTGACCAATCCAGTTGTCTCTTCTGATGAGGATTTGAATCCTTTTGGAGGATGGGTGTGTTCTCTCTTTAGCAATCAGGGGTTGAAGTCTAACCCCGGATGTCCCCTCAGGGAGCAGGAATGGGGGTAGGAAGGGATGAAGAGCAGAGGAAGGGTTGGAAGGCAAAAAAAAAAAAAATGGTAAAACTGACACTCCACTAACGGGTCATATAAATATTTGGTCTCCTGTTTCTTTTAATTTGAATACAAATGGCATTATCTTTACTCTTTGCTACATGTTTTGGTCCAATTGCATAAAAAAAAGACATCACGTATTAATAGTTTTGATTGCTCTGTTGCCTCTTTTCTGACCTGTTTTGCCCTCTCTTCTTTGCTGCTTCTCACTGGAGCTGTATCTTCTGAGGAATCATTCCTCAAACTCAACACTTGTCCCTCTTTGGCTACATGCTTCTCCTTTCTCCACTCGTTTCCTCTCTTTTTTTTCCCCCTTTCACACACTCTTCCCCCTCTCATCTCCTTTAGAGAGCTTTTTGGACAATGATATCGCTGGAAACAGGCAGAGTCTGACAGTGTTGGTAATAATGAATTAAGTCTGTAGCCTGGCCCTGACTCTGAAATTTAAATTATAATTACTCCTGTGGGGATGGAAGGGGTTATTGCCAGAGAGAGAGAAATAAATTGAAGTGAAGTTTGTTTTTTTTTTTTTTTTTTTGCTCTGCTTTTAAGACGTTCCGGCACGCCACTCAGTTTGGCCCCAGTTAAGTTTTTTTTTTTTTATGATTGTGTTTATACCTGAGTGGTTGGATGTGAGTGAAATCACAAGTTTGGGACTGCTTGTGTGTGCCTCATAGACAGCCCCCGATCTCCACAGGTTTTCCTTTTATGTGCCTGGCACTTTTTCTACATTTTGTCACATTACAACCACAAACCTAGGTATAACTTTACTGGGATTTTATGGAGCAGACCAATACAAAGTAGTGTATAATTGTGAAGAGGAAGAAAAATTATAGAGGTCTTTTCTGCTGGCTATAACAGTTTTTAAGGACTTAGTTCTGTGTCTCCATCAACTTTATCCATCTTCCATGTCCCTGCTAAGACAAAGCATTCCCACAACGTATTTCATGGTAGCGGTGTTGGGTTCAGGGTGATGATGTGCTGTTAGTTTTAAAACATGCATCGTGTTTTTTTTTTTTTTTTGCTTTCTCCACATGTCTTGTGACAAATTGCAAACATGATTTATTCTGAATTTTTTTTGTCAATTTTTTTTTTTTTTACTTGTGACTCTTGCATACTGGCTAGATTTTAGAAATGACCGACCAGTAGATACTCCGAGAACAAATTCTCCCTCCTGACTGGTGAATCTCTCCAGCACAGTCTCCAGTAGAAGAACAGGCATCTTAGCTACTTCTGAATTATTGTTGCCTTTCTTGGCCTGTAAGTTTAGATGGGTTGTCATGTTTAGTACTTTTGACATTTATCCCAAACTTGTTTTTCATTTTTAAATGATAGCTTGAACAGTGCACTTTGAGATGTTCAAAGCATGGGTTTTATAATCTAACCTTGTTTTAAACGTCAAGGCTCTTCCTAATGAGTAAGAAATATCACAAAACATATAAATGACTCATTTGTGCTTCAGTATTCTAGAGCAGTTTATACAAAAACTGTAAGAAAAGAAAAAAGAGATCAAATCTTTGAAGGTAAGCTGACATGTCTGCTGAATTATCTTATACATGTCCAGTTTATTTAATGTAGAGAACCTTATGCGTAATGCTGCAATAATACTAAACCTAACTTTTCCTCTGGACTTGATGAAGAGCTATACAAGTATCTTAAGGATAAGGCATTTATCACAAATGTTTTACAGAAATTTTCAATAGCTCATCTCCCTCGCCCTGATCCAAAAACTTACTTTATTTAAAGAAAAAATATATATATGAATTGCAGACTCACAAATGGGAGTATTTTGTCAAATTAAATTCTGCCATTTGTCCCTTTGTTATCCCCGGCCATAAATGCCAGCTCTACATTTTCAAATAAAGACCCCGTAAAGGACATATTCTACCCTTTCCTCTCTTAATGAAATGTCAGGTTATTGACCTGCCTTTCACTCCGATGCTTTTAGCTGTCCTCTTTGACTCTTCACCTCTGCTCTTGTGATGTTGTAGAGCCTCTGGAGGTCGCTTCACAACTTGAAAGATGTCGGCATGGTGCAAGTGAAGGTCATCAGAGCTGAGGGACTCATGGCGGCAGATGTCACAGGTACGTCGGTGACCTAAAGTACAAACAGTGCAATTATAATTTTTTTTTTCCTTCTGCTGTTATTTGGTTGCATGATATTTACAGCAAAAAAGTATTCATTCCTTTGGATCTTTTTCACATTTTTGCACATATTAGCCACAAAAAGTCAATGTTTTTCGGTAGGATTTGATGTGTTAGACTAAGACAATGTAATGCATGACTGCTTAGTGTGTGTGTCTGTGTGTTTGTGTTTGTTTTCAAGCTTGGACTTTTACTACTTAGTTGACTTTTGAAGGTAATTAGTTGCACAGGGTTACGTTGATGGATTTCAGAGTAATGAAGGTAGACTATAAATACTAGCTGGATTAAAGTGTTTTTTATTCGTTAAATTCTTAAAAACAAAAAGTTATCTCTTCTACTTCAAGTTATCTCGGACAAACACATTGTTTTACGTTTGCCAGATGCACAAATTCCTGCTGAAATTTCTCAAAAATTGTGACTGCAATGTCACAATGTGTGGAAAAAGTTCAGGGGACATGTATCGTTGTGCAAGGCACAGGAGCTTTTTCTTCATTTTTAACATGCTGAGCAGTTTCTGTTGCAAACTTATCTGTACCAGCAATTGCCACAAATCTGAGCTAAAAGACAAAGTCAGGGTGTAATTTTCTTTAGGGGGCTAATCGCCAGTGTGAGTCCTTAGAGAACGCTAAAGCCTACTTTGTACGTGGACGCTAAATTTGTCTCTGCATTTTAAACAAAGATGCAGGCTTCTCATTTGAATAATAGAGAAAAAGTACACATTTGAACCAACAAATCTTTCTCGTCCCTCCTCCTGTGCTTTCTCTGCTTGCTCTCTCTGAATCCTCTAACCTCCATTAATTCTTACTTTTAATTAGGTCTACAGTGGACAGGCCTAGTTCTTCACTCTGTATTATCTGGTAAAGAGAGGAGGATGTATGCGTGTGTGTGTGTGTATGTGGCAGGGAGACAGAGTTTTTCTCTATTTGAAACATCCACAGTCCCATTAGCAAATACAGAGTGGGGCTGGTTGATTTGGGTTACTGCAGGGAGCGACAGGAGCAGTCAGAGTGCAGGGCTAATGGCTCTCCGGTTCACGGGTTTCACTTGGAGCAGAAATGGGCTCCGTGACACCTTTGCAAAGCTCATCATTCACTCCGTGGTTTATGGATTCTTTTATAAACTAACAGTAAAACTGCAAAAAATACCCGTTAGCTGTTTAGCATTGCAGAAAACACGCATGATGAGTTTCAGTAGCCTTCGCTGTTCTGTAACTTGAGTTTTTCTACAGCCTTTACTGGATGTTTTTGGTCCTATAAAGTTAAATTAAAAGTGTAAAAAAAAACAAAAAAAAAAACTTTAACAAAACAGATGAAAGGTTTTGTGCTTAGCATTTTCTCTTCTAAGATGTTACATATTTTTGGAGAGGTTCTGGATCAATTGAAATCTTGCCTTTAAAAAGGGTCCATCTGCTCCACCACCTGTGCTGCTGTTCTTGAACTCACAAATCACACAAAGTCATTCAAACTTTTGCACACAGCTGCCCCAAAATGCTGAAAAGGTCTCCCTCCTTTTCTCTCTTAGCGTGAATGACACACAGACTTGTCTCAGCATCTGACAGAAAATCGTTTTCTTATGAATAATTTGCTTTGTTTTATCTGAATTCATTTTAAACCTTTCACATACTATACATAGCAAACACAGTGTCTTCTTCCGTCAGTAGCAACTTCCACAACGAAGAGTGTTATTTTTAGCGTGTGGCCTTCACCGATCGGGAAAAAAAGAACAATGTGGACCGATTTAAGCAGAAGATCTGCTGATCTCTCACTCTAGTTTGTTTTTGTCTTACTTTGTTTTTAGAGCTTTGTGCTCAGGGCCAAAGAAAGTCTTACATTCAGACAGCTCCATCTGAGAGAGTATTGAATACATACACTCAGAAAACTAAGGTTGATGCATTTCTTTTGGCTCCCTAAAGCACATTGTCTTCCGCCGAGTCGATAGATGCATACTGTGAGTGAACTGATAGGTAAAAGGGGGCTATTTCAAAATGGCTTATTTCAGTTTTGAGTCTAATACTCTGCGTGTGTGCGTGAATGTGTGTCTTTGTGCGTGTCACTGGCAGAAACAATCGCTCTGTAAGAGCCCCATAAGAGCCCTCACCACATGAACACCCCATTTTAACAACCCAGACCAAGAGAGGGTCAGGAGCAAGGTGAGAAAGGAACAGAAGAACAGACAAACAGACAGACAGAGGCAGGAGGGGAGACAGAGAGAGGAGGTCAGTGAGACAGAGAGTTCACCATCTAGCTCCCATTCAGGCTCCTCTCCCTCCTCTCTTTTTCCTCCTCCTCCTCCTCCTCCTCCCCCTCTCTCCCTCTTCTCTCTGGCCATCTCTCTCTAATTGGAGTGTTTTTGTGGAGTAGCTCCACTCCAGCCCAAGTAGGATAACTGAAAATAGTCTCCAAAACCAACAATCCCTTTTGTGTGCCAGCTCTTGTCCCTCTGAGTGGATGCTATACTGTTAGAACATTTCAGCAGCGATACACACACGTACGCTCGCTCACTCACACACACACGGATACCTGCAGCAGCAGCAGCTTCGTACGCATGACCGGATAAGATTTATTTTTACTTTTTCAGGCAACATTGAAACAAATCTCAGATAGCGAAGAAAATATTTAACTTGTTTTTAATTCAAGCTGAAAATACAGTCTTGCAAAAGAAAACATTCCCTTGATGCAAAAATCTGTTCAGATAAAATTTTGAAAAGTGTGCCATGAATTTGTGCTCAGCCTGTCAAAGTTAGTACTTTGCTGCTTCAAATTGCAACCCCAAGTATTTCGGGGTCTCCAACAGCTTTTCACATCCAAATGTAATTTTTTTTGGTCTATTCTTCTTACTTCAGACTCAATCAAAGTGGATGGAAAGTGTCTGTGGACAACAGTTTCTTGTTACTCTGTAGACGATGGCCTTCTTCTTATCTCTCTACCCTTAAAGGTTCATTCTGTGGATAAATTATCCTCAAGTGGCCCTTTTTAAAGTTATGTTTTTTTATTAAATACGTAGCTCCTGAACACAGTCGGTTGAATCATATTTTAAGCTGTACAAGAGTCTGAATACAAATGCAAGCAACACTTTTTTACTTGCAAACAAAAAAAAATCAGAAACATATTTTTCTCACCAATTTACAACTATACAATACTGCTTATCCTATCACATAACATCTAAATAAGATCAAAGTTTCTAGTTGTGGTGTCATGACAAAAATGTCGGTGTGAATACTTTTCCTAGGCGCTATAATATTCATTGTGAAACGTTGGGAAGTTTCCTCTCCGTCTTTAAACTTCCCACCAGTTCAGAGCTGTCGGAGGGGCAATTACTTTTTTCCTCCTCGTCTTTCTGCTGCGTTCCTCCGCTAAGTTTTCCTCAGAGTGCTCTGAAATTAATTTAAGTCCACTCCCTTCCTGCCAGCATCTCAGAGATCGGACCCAGAGGGGGCGGGAGGAGCTTTACCCGGACATTACCTGGATGGCGCCGAGTGGCGCTCAAATCTGTGCGTGTAATTGGTTAAGACAGCTGCCTCTGGTGCTTGGCAGCCAATAAGGTGAAAGTTCATCACCCATAACAACTGGCTCTCCGCAACGACGCATGCAGCCGCGTCATTAAAGACAGAATATTAGAGGGACGACTGGGGGCAACTGGATGGGGGATAACACGCTGCAGAAATGATTTCCATGACCAAATTTGGGTGATTGCATTTAAATTGGCTTGATTTGTTGGGTGGGGGGCTACGGTATTACGCAGGCAGACTCCTTGATTAATTGCGGAAGATCCTAAAACTTTACCATGATATTTTTCTGCAAATATATTACTTAAAACGGCTGTCGAAATCTTACTTTTAAGTTCATTTTCTCCCCTCCAAAATAGCAGGAATTGTTTTAAAAATGTTGTCATGGAAATGCAGTTAATATACAGCAAATAAAGTTTATACACGGATGCTCTGAAAACTAGGCTCCTGAGTACCCTGGACTTTTATCAATTTTAATGTATCTTGTTTTCAGTCGCAGAAGTCAGAGCTGCCAATATCAACTTGAAACCGCTTGGATCAATAGAGCACCACAAACAGATATAAAAGGCAACACCTACGCCTTAGCATTGATCACAGTGACATTTACTTTGCACACCCACTAAATGTCCTGCCCTTGTCACAACATTTGAAGAAAATCACACCAATCGATAGCGCTCACTCACACACGCCTCCCATGACTCACACGCACACGCACACACACACACACACACACACACACACACACACGCAGAACCACAGTCTTTCGGGGAGCTTTAAACTCGGTCCCAAAGTTGTCGGACATTATTACGCAACGTTGCTGTTCTGCTGATATGTCATCGTTGTCTCTTTAAATAATACGCTTTAAACTTGCTGACCTGTAGTCTTCACGCGTTAATGAATAAAAAGCAAAAAAACAATCCCATCAGAGTTTTTCTTTTTTAATCAACCGTGATGATCAAAGTTGGAATTAAGTGTTATTTTCAGTGGGAGACAATTGAAGGGAGCTGGTCTAATCCTTTTCAACTCCTTCATACAAAATGCTGGTAAACAAAAGGAAAATATGATGGGAGATTATTTACTTTTATTTTTATTCTCGGGACGATAAAACTATGCTTTCTCCTCTGTCTCATAATTGTAGTAAATTCTGAATCAAAAGTTTTGGTTAAATTTATTTTATAACTAACGTGATGTAATTAGTAGTGAGTCATGCGATAAATGTCTTTATTGCTTGCCAAAAGTCCTGAAGTTTAGGAGAAATAAGAAAATCCACGAAATAACCTCGAAAACTGTCAGGTTTTACATCATTTTATTTATTTATTTATTTATTTATTGTTCATGTAGACTGTTTAAAAGAAGAAAAAACTGAAATGATTGGGATTTTCTCTTTTCTTCGAGCTCCTCTTTTATTATTTAATTCTGACACTGCTTTCTTTCTTTTCTTTTATTTGTCAAATCCATCTTTGCCATTAGTGTTTCATTTGCTCATTTTAATATCACAAGTTTTGCAGCAGACGTGTTTCTTCTGTCCCACGCGCGGCCGTCTCCATCTTCTCTCCTGAAGTTTTCCAGTCTTCAGAGTCGTGCTGACCTCTGTGTTCTCGCTCTCTGTCTGTCGCCCTCCTCCTCCTGACTGCTCAGTGCACAGCTGTCCTGAAGTCCATGTTTTCAAAAAACAGTTTGCAACTGATATATTAATGTCTGATGTGCTCAGCACCGAGGCTGAAGAGTGGAAAGAGTCATTTTATGAATTTAGATTGCTTGATGAAGCATGTAGCATGAGGTCATATGTGTCTTATGGGGATGTAAAGACTTTTGTTTCAGTGGACCTGCTGGATCCTAAAAAAGATCAAATAAAACTTATGACTGAGCTTTTTGAGTTTATACCATATTTTAATGCGGCCACATTTGTGTACTTTATTTATACTTGACAGGTAAGAGCGATCCTTTTTGTGTGGTGGAGCTGAGCAATGATCGACTGCAGACACACACCGTCTACAAAAATCTAAACCCAGAGTGGAACAAGGTCTTCACTTTGTGAGTAGCTTTGACATGAACACTTTTACTCTTTATTAACGACACATACCTTGTTTCTTTTTATATTCATTTTGAATAAAATATTAAGAAAATAATTTGATTTGTGTGTGTTTTATATTGTATTTTCTTTTTTTTTTTTACTTTAACAGTGCAGAACTTTTTTTTCTTAAATGAATATCTAGGTTAAAATATTTAGGAAACAATAACATTAACTAATATAATTTCTCCATGAATGTGAGTCTTTCCTTATCATAACTGTATTAATTGGTGAACAAAGTGAAAATGAAACAAGAGAAAATGAATCAAGATATATAAAAATATTTTTTTATTTCCATTAATCTATATTTAATGTGTTTATATATATATATATATATATATATATATATATATATGTTAAAAAGTGTGATTATGTTCTATCTTTGCAAATGTGACAATTTTTGGTGAACCGATTCATATACTTAAAATAAAAGTAAATAAATAAATAGATACATTGTGCTGCTGTGCAACATCATGTAATTTTTATTAATATAATTTTTCAAAAAATATATTAAACATGATTTATTATTATTATTATTATTATTATTATTATTATTATTATTATTATTATTATTATTATTATTATTATTATTATTATTATATAGGTGTGCTATTTCTTGTGATGTTGGATATGCTGGATTATTACATAGGCTCTTTCCTCATCCTTCCTGTAAGTCTGTGAGATGAAACCGCCTCTGCACCATTTGAGTCTTATGTGCCCCGTCTTTGTGTGTGGTCCAGCAACGTCAAGGACATCCACTCGGTGCTTGAGGTTACCGTTTACGACGAGGACCGGGACAGAAGTGCCGACTTCCTTGGGAAAGTGGCTATCCCTTTGCTAAATGTGAGTCAAAGGCAAGATTTCTGTTTGTGTTTCTTTTTTTCCCTCCTCCCTCGGGGATAATAGAGAGAGAACATACAGCGGAGGAACAGAGAGAGTAAAAACAGAGTGGGATATAAAAAGCAGAGGTTATTTTTGCAACTCCGCTGATGACACTTATTATTTCTCAAAGTAAAAAAAAAAAAAGTTGACAGGAAGCAGAAATAAATGGAAGAGCTGAGTAAAAGGAAAGGTATAGATTGATAGCTGAGAGGATATAAAGTTAGTGGATGAGAGACGAGACGAAAATGACGCTGATAGACAGAAAGATCCGACTTGGAGGTGAAAGAAGACTGTCTCTTATATCTGGTAAAAATATAGCTAGCCCGTGAAAGAAGTGTGCGCGTCGTATATCTGCGCTTTGCTGTAACAGTGTGATTCCCCAGGATAGTTAATTTCTGTTTGACAGAGCCGAGCTGCAGTGGGTAATGAACAGGTACTTGTCAGAGTTGCCACAGTTGTTTTGGGTTCCCTGTCAGCGCCAGCAGCTGGGGTTCAAAGGTGGCCCGGGGAGCCGATTCAGCCGGGTATTGCCAGACAGACGCCTGTCATGTCCCTCTCCCACAGATCCAAAATGGAGAACGCAAAGCCTACGTCTTGAAAAGCAAGGAGCTGACAGGGCCAACAAAAGGGGTCATCTTTCTCGAAATAGACGTGATTTTTAATGCTGTAAGTCTTTCTTTTGCTTTTTTTTTTGAGTCTCCTCCCTGTTTTTCTTTTTTACCTCCTACCCCTTATTATCCTCACTCTCATCCTCTTCTTGTTTTCCCCACCATTTGCCCCCTTCTATGCTGCTGCTGTCTTTATTCTGTTTGCCCCCCCCCCCCTTTTCCTTCCCTCATTTCTATCTCATCCATCGTCCCTCGTCCTCGTTTTGGCTTTAATTATCGAAGACTCCCTCTCAGCAGCCTTTGTTAGCCCATTCACTGTCGCCGTGTGTGTTCTACAGCGGCCATCTTACAGCTCTGTCTCCTGCTCTCCCTCTCTTTCTCTCTAGCCTCTGACACGAGGCACGCTCTAAATGCATGTGCTGCTATGCTGTCTCAGCGCTCAGTCCCTTTGAAATAATCAAGATATTTCTCCTCGTTATCACATTTGTGAGACTTTGTGCTTGCTGTACCGTCCAGGTGAAGGCTGGTCTCAGGACGTTGACTCCCGTCGAACAAAAGTACATCGAGGAGGAGCCTAAAGTGTCCAAACAGGTACATCTGCAGCTGATGTTTATCATCTGCCACACCTCCTCTTCCTTCTTTATCTGCCTCCTTCCAATTGACTCCCCATTTTGCTTAAACGTCTAAAGCAGAAACTAACAACACCGCTGAGTGGCATCCTGTAAAGCGCAACAACTGTGTAGGCAAGATACAACAGGATGATTGAAGGAAAAACAGCATTTGTTTTTTTTTTTTTGTTGTTTTGTTTTTTTTTCTTTCCTCCTCCCTCTTCTCCCCCCTTTTTCTCATCTCCTACCCCTCGTATCCACTCTGAATGGTGAATAGAAATGTCAAGCTGTCAGCTCTGGGGTGCATAAGTAGATTGGCCATCCTTATAGTTGGCCCTCTTTGCCACTGCTGCTTTGCACTTCATTGTCACGCTGCTCAGTGTGGCGGCACCACAAAGGGATGAATGGTAGGGGCTGGCCCGCATCAGATGTGTCATATGAGTGACCGTTCGGGCTCAGCAGTCAATGTTACGCCACGCACAGTCGAGCGCGGCCCCGGGCCTCGTCCCGACGCAGCACAGCGCGCATCCTCTTTGTAACTCCTCCATGCCTCCTCCCCCCAGCCTCACTGTCTCTGCCTCCTCTGCTGCTCCCTGCTCCCGGCTCACTTTTGCTGCTCTGCCTCTCTTCCCCATCTTCATTTCACCCCTGACTCACGGAGAGGACCCATGTCAGCGTCTCTCAATGATGATGTCACTGGCTGGTTTGGAGGGACTGCCCCGTGAAGGGCTCTTTTATACGGCAGCAGCTCCCCTGCTGCTGCTGCATTCACACACGGCAAAAAAAAAGGGGTGGGAGGAAACATGTTCCATCTTCAAAACTCATAAACGTAGTATTGACATTGGACTCAATTTATAAATAACCCAGTTCTTAAGTGCTTTCCATAACTAAAGAGTGCGTTCAATATGAAGTACTTCTCGAAGCCTTGAACTTTTTCACATTTTACGACATTTCAATCACAAACTTAAAAGTGTTTTATTGGGATTTTATAAAACAGACCGACACAGAGGAGTGCATATTTGTAGGAAAAAAAAAGAGTTATATGTTTTAGCTAATTAAAAAATCTGAAAATAAGGAACTCTTTTTCTCTAGCACCCCTAACTAAAGTCCAGTAGAACCATTGACCCACGAATGCCACTTTATTCTTATATCAAGCCCACCTGTGTATCATTTTATCTAATATAAATTCTGTGAAATTCATTAACATTAAAGACAAATGAAGACATCACAGTGATCAGGGACAATATTGTTGAGAAGTTAAAAGCAGAAATGGTTATAACATCGTACAAAAAATTTAAAGAATATGACTCAACTGGAATCGTGCCAAAGCATGGCTGTCAAATTGGCACCGCAAAAGTAAAAATCAGAGAAGGAGCCAATAGTCCCATGGCAGCTCTGGAGGATCTGCAGAAATAAAGAGCTCATCAGAGAGATCTCAGTTACAGGAGAACTGTTAGTCCTGCACTTCTTAAATCTGGCCTTTTATCATGGCAAAAGGCCTAGTTGAATACAAAGGCAATTACCTCACGATTATACACAGTTTGTGTTTGGTTTGTAACAGAAAATTGCATTGAGATGACTCAGAAGTTTGTGCTTGAAATGACAAAAAGTGGAAAACGATTCTGGGGGTATGAATACTTTTGAAGGGCACTGACACATGAAAATGTAAGCATTCTTATCAAGGAACGTCTTGACTTCATGACTGAAAATAAGTTGCGATGTCAACTGTCTGGTTAGCCTCGACCTTATTTTGGCTTTAAGAAATTACACATTTCTATGTTTTTAAGAACAAAATTCCTTTGGAAAAAAAACAAAACAACCTAGGTATTTTTTTCATTGAGGTATTTGGAAAGGCAGGATCTCCTTTGGGAACAATTTCTCCTGCTGGTGACCTGATTGGGTAATTTCCTGTCCTTGCGTCTGTTACGCTATTCCCTAAATGGCTGCAAACCCAGGACAATGGCAGCAGCTCTACTTGTCTTTACAAGCACACCGACACATGGAGCACAGAGAGGTTTGGATGTGCCACTGGATGACATAAGGAAGCAGAATTGCGTTGAATCTAAATCTTATCCAGACATGAATTAAAAACGTTGAACCACACCTCTGTAATCCTGTGTGCTACTAGGCAAAGCCGTAGATCACCGAGAGCATCAGTGTCATTTTTTTTTTTCAGCTTCATTTTCTCTCCCACCAAGTGTTATTACCTGCCAGCTTGTTTAAACGTTTTATGCAACGTTCACGATGAAATGATAAACTGTCTAAATAACAGTCTGCTCTTTTCCTTTTTATGGCTCATTTTCAACACGAGACTTCATTTGTCTTAAGACGTTTTTTTTTTTTTTTTGTTTTTTTTGCGTGTGTGTTGCTTTTCTTCAGATGCTTTTGCGCAACTTCAACCGAGTCAGACGCTGCATCATGTTCCTGATCAACACAGGCTGCTACATCAACAGCTGCTTCGAATGGGAATCTCCGCAGAGAAGCATCTGTGCTTTTGTGGTAGGTGTGGGAGCACCTGCGGTTGCACTTTTTTTTTTTTTATATATGCCGAACACACGCACGCACGCAGACAGGCACGCACGCACACACACATAGAGAGAGAGCAGAGGAACAAGCAGGGTTGTTCTCAGATGTACTTGGGATCATTTCTGCAGTGATTAGACTTTGCAGCTTGAAATGATCTTTTGTTAGACTCTCGTGTCCATCTGCAGAGTAAACACAACTACAAGCAGTTCCTGCACATGAAAAGGGGACGACTTCTCTCCTCTTGTTTAACCAGTGCACTCCCACGTCTCTTTCGCTCTCCTCTGTCATCTGCGTCTGGTATTAAAAGGTGAAGCTTAATTGGACAGCAGAGCTATCAAGAGAGGACATCCTACTGCAGGGCGCAGTCAGAGGCTGCTTTGAAGTTTCTATCCTAAAAGATGACAGAGCAGGCATTTAGTCCTGTCTGCTTTATGTCCACTGACTTAAGTAGCTACAGGACAGGTGGGCCTAACCTGACCTGGCCCTTTACCATGGGAGCACTAAGTGTCTCCATTGCAGACATTAGCTCCATTTGGCCGTTTGACACCAGCTTAATCTTCACTGAGGCTGTATGTGTGTGTTTGTACAACAGGTCACACTGTCATCACAGGAGTTGGGTCAGAAGAGACGTAGTATTGATCAGTTAACGTTTTCCATTATATTCTGTGTGTGTGTGTGTGTGTGTGTGTGTGTGCGTGTGTGTGAGGGTCTGGAATGCATGTTTGCATTTCATTTCAGAGATTCACGGGTGTCACATTTTCTGGGTAATTTTTAAAGTTCTGACCTCCCGATTTTAGCCCATTCTCTTTTAGTATTATGAATATGAATTTTTCTTCTTTCAACATAAATTTAAAATTGAAAAGTCATATTTAAAAAAAAAAAAATTAGAAGTACACTAAAATCGTGCAGGTTGCCAGACAGACGTATTTGTGCAAATAGAACAAACTAAAGAGATATATTATCTTTGTTCTGCACAGTGAAATGACTGCTATAATCACTACTTATTCAATCATTTCAAAATAATGTATTGTCCAAATTATTATTTGTAAAGAAAAAAGCTCTTATTTACTATTGATCGTCAAATCCTTCAATCGTTTATTGTAACCAACCAGGAGCTCTAAGCGAGATTTCTGTAATCGAGATAGCAGTTGGTCTTCCACTGCTGTGCCGCTAAGATGGATATCCTTATTTTTAAAAAACATACTCGGCGATTAAACTGTTGACATTTTATACTGTTTTTTTGCCTGTTATACAAGTGGCTAGCACAATTAGCGCATACCTACCACCACAAAGTGTGTTTTCCCTGTACAGTAAATAGACCTTAAATGTTCTGACATTTCTAAAAGTTTCCTTATATTTCCTAACAGATAGAATTTTGCTTGTAAACATTACCTTCCTGCTTTCTGCTGAATTTTCTGCGTCTTGGCAGCTTGAATAAATGGAAGATACATTTTCTTCATAGAGTGTCTCGTCGGTTTTTTGCAATTGCTGATAACTGAATTTACGTCTTCTTCACTCAGCTGCAACTTGCACACTGAAGAGGGTTGTCAGAGTGACATCATTGCACTTGCTATTGTGAAAAATGGCGGAATAATTTGTTTCAAACCATAATTTATATATTATTTCCTGTGGACTTGCCATTATTCTTTTTCACTTATAAGTGAAAGGGGCAAATAAGCAGGTCAGACACAAAAAAATGATTAAAAAAATATGAAAATCAGTCTTATTTATATGATTAAATGATAGGAAAGGGTACAGTTCTTAAAAATTCAATCTTTGTGTGAACACCCATGAAGCTGTTCAGCCTTCAAACATGCACTTTGTAATGCAAGGTGCACAACATTGCGGATTAACAGCTCAGACTATTCTTATTGTGCTCTCTTTGTACCCAGAGTGTTCAGATGATGACAAAGGGTGTATCTAGGCCAAGGACAAAGTGTTTTACAGTTTATAGTAATTCTGAAATTTAGGTGTCATTGTGCCCCCCCCCCCTCCCCCAACCCCCACTCCCTCCTCTTCCTCCTTCCCAGCTCCACCCCTACCCTTTAGGGAGTCTGCTAGCGTAGGAGTGTGCACTTAGCTAAAAGCATTGGAGTATTTAGGGCCTCTTCTCCACACAGGTATTCCCTCCCTCTCCCTTCATTCCTTCATCTCATTTCTTCCTTACTTTGAGAGGCCTCTTAATCACTTCACTCATCTCTTTAAGTGGGTTTTTATGGGGGGCCATCTGGCCAAGGTGGTGCATTCATGAAGGTGTGCTGCTGCTGCTGCTGCTGCTGCTGCTGCGTGCGATTATGTCCATGTGTGTGCGCGCACACATGTGCGTTCCTGCCTGCAGACAGATGTTACGCCTAACTTTCTGTGGGCAATTTAGTCTCAGAACTTACAAATGTGCGCACTTTATCAGACTCCAGCAAGCCTGAGGGGGGATATATTTGAGACTTTTTTGTTATTTTTTTATTTTTTTATTTTTTTGTCAGAGGTTTTTTTAGAAGTACATCAAAATGCAGTTGTCATAACATGTCACAGCAGAACACTCCCTCCCCACAGGAAAAAAAAAAAAAAAAAGTTTAAATTTCGCTTCATGGTTTCTTGCTCTCCTTCTGCCCAATCCTGAAATGCCAGCCGCATGTACACATCACCCATTAGTGCCAGCTGTGATTAGTGTGTGTTTTGTGTGCATGTGTGAGAAAGAGAGATACTGCATAGTCTCACATGGAGCCTTTCACTCTCTCTCTCTCTCACACCCACACTGCTGTCATCCGCCCATCCCGACAGTGAATCAGCCACCGTGGCAGCTTTGCCTGAGGCGTTGGCACAATGGACGCTACTGGAGTTACCTCCTGTCCTGCATGATGGGTGGTGTCTTTGTGTGCGTATGTGTCTGTGGATGGTGTCTCCATTCCTTGTCTCGGGGTTAAGCGTCTGCTTCCGTTCTCCACACCTGCGAGCCGAGTATCTCTCCCTCCTATCTGCCCGTCCATCCATCCTTCCAATGCCCGTTCTCCTTTATCTCCCAACGCCTCCTCCCCTCCACCCCCTCTTCCCCTCCTCTTCGCCATGCCTTGCAGAAAGTTGAGGCCATTGTCGGGCCGAGCGGTGTTGGGTTCTCTTCTCCCGCTGCTGCCAGCTCTCCCCCGCGGCCCCTGCAAGACAAGGCTGTTATTGCCCGAGGGACCACAGGCCTCGGCGGCTCTTCCTCCAAACAAATTTGCTGTAACTTTATCTGCAATTGGGCCCTGAATTGGGAGCAAATAGAGGCAGCTTTGTGAAGCTCAGGGAAGGGCGAGGGCAGCGAGCTGGGGGTTGTTGGGGAGGCAGGGGAAATGATACCAGGCTCTTTTATGTCAGGCAAAGTAGGACTCTTATCAGGAAGAGAGCCCAGACAAGGGAGCTACTTCTAGAGGAAACTGGAGCACCTATCACCTGCTTTGCATTTAGATAAAAATTCACCCAGCTGAAATAAAAAAAAAGAAGAGGGGTGGAAAAAAAAAAAGCAAAAAAAAAAAAAAAAAGCAAAGACAGGTACAGAAGCAACCATTCGAGTGTCTACGTGTGTTTGCACATGTCTGGTTGTGACGCTGCAGCAGCGATCGGCACACACCAACCACTCTGGGTCTCTTTAAATTGCTCCTTTGACTTCTCTTCAAAGAGCCTCCGTAACTTTTAAAAGTTTTAAAGTCGGGGGTTCGTCTTTGCCCACAGCAAGGGACAGCTTTGAAAGATATACTTTCACATTTTTGCTGCTTGCTTGATTCGCAGAAAAAAAAAAAAAAGAATGATAGTTGGAATATTGTGACGTGACTGACAGAGAATACCAAGTCAGGGTTTAATCATCAGAGATAAAGACTCAACAGAAAATGAGACCTTTTTGTTAGAGAGTCAACGGATCAATACGTCTAATAGGTGCCGTTGAAGACTTTTCTTTCGAAGGACATATGCTTTGTTTTATTTCACCATGTTCTAACAAGATTGGACGGATTTTCTTTTTATTAGATCAACACAAATTACACTTTATTCTGCTGTTGAGCAGCAGGGGGCAGTCTAGCACCGCCAAATAAAGGGTCTGGTCTCAAGCAGGACAACCCACTCCACCACCACCTCCCCACCGCCACCCTTTCTTCATGTTCGCCCGAACTTAACAGGACTTCGAGTTGCTGTCTGGCAACACTTAGTGCCAGCATGGATATTGATGTAAGAGAGATAAAGGGGGAACTCTGAAATCCAAACTTCAGTTTCAGTCCACTGAGACTGAGCAGGGGGAAAGTTAGCCTGGTGTGTGGTTAATGTAAGCCAAAGCACTGAATATTACCCTCCCACAGTGCTGCTGCAGAAAGCCGTCAGGACGCGGGCTCTGTTTTCGAACCAGAAACGAAACTTTTAAAATCCCCACACTGAGCACTTGAATGCATTAGTTTGACTTTTTGTTCCCCTAATGTTTTCAATAAGGCTTCCTTTCTTGTTGCTTTTCAAATAATAATAATAAATAATAATATTTAAAAAAAAGAAGCACAAAAGATCAGAACCGAAATCAAATCCAACTCTAAAGACATGACAAAATATATTAATATTTTAGGGTATGAATATTTGTGCTAAAATGTAACAAGAAAAGACACTGTGGTTTTACTTTAATATGTCTGTGTTAATTATTTGAGCCATTTGATTTTCAGATTGTTCTCAGATGTTAAGTTTGCCCAGTTCAAATTCGGGCTCTAACTGCTGTTAAACTATTTTAGCAGATTTGACAGTGACAGACAAAAAAAAAAAAAAAAGTCCTATTCTCTGTGTTTTTATGACAAAATGATACTTTTGTTCTGAGCATTTTTACAAAGCATTGCACTAAACGATACACTGTTTAATGATTAGACTTGTTGGCTGAAGGTAAAACACTACTCTTTTTATTCCTGACGTGCTTTTAATCGCCCGTCACTATTTCTGTTTGTCTTGGTGACAAAATCAAATGTCCATCTATGAAACAAAATACACAAGAAATACATAGTAAATTTTGATGATCTTGAAAATAAAATAGCAAAATAGCTATTTTTAATTATGACTAAAATCAAAATTAATTTTCATAGATCCAAAGCAAGACTACTTACATATATGTTTATGAATATAGAAACACATTAATGGAAAATAATGATTAGAAAAACAGCAAAGAAACAAGCCTTGGAAGTTTACAAACCTCTACCATGAAAATTCAGTAGCATAGGTGAAAACAAGAACAATGCGAGCCCAGCATCCTTTGCGCGCGCGCGCGCGTGTGTGTGTGTGTGTGTGTGTGTGTGTGTGTTTTTGTGTGTGTATCCTTATATCCAGTACGAGTCATAATCATATGGGTTTTTGGACCACACAGAGTAATCTACCAATGATTTCCATAGTCTACATCTGGAACTTCACTCACAATCTTCCTCCACTTTTCCATTTGATCCAGTGTGTTTTTGTAGTTGTCTCCCCCCCTCCCCCCCATCCCCCTCCGTCTTTCTCTGGTCACTGACATCCACAGCAGGCGCTCCTTCCCACTCCCATCTCTCCAGGCGAAGCGCTTCCTATCTTGTGTGGCGAGCGGCAGCAAGCAGTGGGGGGGGGGGTTGACTGCGGTGGCTGCGATTGCCTAGTCCTGGTGGAAAGGTCCAGGTACCGCAGGGCCCCCAGTGTCCAGCCGGTGGGCACAAAGACGACGCAGGGGCCAGCCACCGCTGAGCCCGGGTGTCCGGTTTCCCTAGCTGCCAGTCAAAACTTCGCCTTCAGCCACGTTACGAACAGACGAGAAAGGGGGATGACAAGTTAAACAACCCCAGGCAGATAAAGAAAAAAAAAAAAAAACATTAAAAACAAAGAAGAGCATAAAAGGAAAAAAAAAATTGAAGATTATTATAAACATCTTCTGAATGTAGAATTAATTTTCCCAGCTAGTGATTAGATAACCAGGAAATATATTTACACAGCAGGATGTGTACGGTATATTTTTAACAGTGAACTTAAAAGGAGCGACTGTGGATCTGCATAAAGATGTTTGCTGTTATTTATAGAATCTACAAGAATAGGTTTTAAAAGGAGCGAGCTGCTTTGTTTGTTCAACCGAAGTCAAGTTTTAGCACCTCGACGGCACATTGTTTTGTCAGAGATTATTTCAGAGTTTATTACTGTTACGGAGCATAATAATCTGACTGCAGATGGATTTGAAAGTAAGTTTGCGAGAAGTATGCAAGTATTTTCGAAGAGTTTTTCCTGTAGGAGATTTTTTTTTTTCTATTCTCTCACTGTGGTAAATGTTTTTAGGATGTAGGAAGAAGAAGTTGTTTTGCCTTTTGCTATACAAATAATCAATTATTAAAATGTGTGTTTCTCCTGCACAGCTGTTTTAAGAACAAATCTCTGTGTGTGTGTGTGGGGGGGACGTTGAGCCTGAGAGAGACTGCGTGTGATTTCAAGACTTTTGGGAGATTTTCTAAGCTGCAGCAACCAAAACCCACTCAGGTTTATTTAAAGAAGGAATTGAAACTTAGAGAAAAATTTATGACGTGCTGGACATTTTTAATGTTTAATTTAGTTTATTATTTTTCATTCTGGCTATTCAGGGTCTTTTAGTCAATTTTGCATGAAGGTTTTTTATGTATGTATGCATAAAGTTTGGATGAGAGCCATTCAAACTTTTCTGAATAAGACTAGTTTGCCACGGCACACATTGTGCGTTTTTTTTTTTTTTTTTTTTTACTATTCAGTATTCAATCAAATCAGCTAAGAAACTGCTGTTGAACCACATATTCAGATTAACCTTCGGCTACAAGAGCAACGAAGAGCTTCCAAACAATCGCACACACACTCGGAAATAAACCAACGTGATTGTAATAACCTTCCCCTTTCCACTTGTGAACAGTGTTATTCTACAAATAGAATGGATTAATTGCAACACAGACCAATAAATCTGCTTTATATAGTAATAGTCTCAATTTTACCAGTCTTGAAAGTTTCCTGCCAAAGCTGATTGCTAAATGGAGATGCATTTCTACGCAGAGTAATTAATTTCAAATCTTTTTTTTTTTTTTTTTTTTTTTCTCCTTTTTTGTGAAAAATTGGTTTTTTTTTCTTTAAATTTGATAAATATGTTTGGCTAGAGGACATTAGGCATTAGGCACGGCTTGCGTTTTCAGCGTTCGGTTATAATTGCCGCCAAGATTTTATCAGTCGTGAGAAATCTCTGCGCGCTTTAAACATGATACTATTTGAAAGGATAAATATGCTTTTGTGTCTGTTTGTCTCTGACGGATGTTGTTCCCACACAATAACCCATCTCAGTTTTTTTTTTGTTTTTTTTAAAGCAACAATTGAAACAAAGCTGCCTCACTATTCGCACAATACTGCTTAAAAATATCAAACCATGAGCATTTGCAATTTAACTTTCCCACAGATATCTCCTCCAACGGCTGTAGAAATCTGTTGTTGGAGGCTGAAGGAGCCTTACAAAAACCAGAATACCGGGTTTAGGGAAAGGTTCAATTTCAGATGGTGCTCTTCTTGTTTGGTGATGAGAGGGGAGGTGTAGGGGTTATGGTTTTGGCAGATAGGTGCAGTGGAGGTTAGAGACGGGGCATATGAGTCTTTTGGAGCAGCAGAAGAGGGTATTGGGGCTTGGAGTGACAGGGTTAGGGACTCGGGGTGTGCGGGGTCATATTCTGGAGTTTGGGGTTGAGCTCGAAAGGCTCAGCTTTGATGAGCTGCGTCTGAAATGGTACACGACCTCGGGCTGTTGGATGATTGGCACGAAGGGAAGAGGCTATGGCGGCTCAAACTCGTCCTCCTTCCTGAACTGCAGACCAACACATCTCCGTGAGGCCAAGATGTTAGGATCTCGGCTCCTATTGCCTTTATTCCATCTTCCGTTTTGTTTCCACGCAATTGTGTATTATCACCAAACGCACATGCAGCCACCTCAAAGCAATCAACAGTGCGGGCTATTAAATGTTTGCGTTCCCAATCTACACTCTCCTCATTTTTTTTTGTTTCCCTTTTCTCTTCCGACAGATTTTCACCATTGTTGTCTGGAACTTTGAGCTTTATATGATTCCTCTGGCTTTGCTTCTGCCGTTGGCCTGGAACTACATTCTCATCGCGTCGGGGAGGGATACGAGGCAAGACGTCGTGAGTAAACCTCTGCTCTGTTCGGAACTGTTCCGCCTTTCTTTTGTCCGTGATTCAAAAAGAAAAAAAATATGTATTTTTTTTTTTATCAAGACATCACAATTCCTTTCATACTTCACATTTGCTGACAGCACATATATATCTTAACTGTACACAGCTACCATTCATTGAATGTGGATATTAGTTACATGATTATAACTATAATCAGTGCAGATGTGCAGATGCAACCAACAAACATTTCTTTAGAGATTTTAGAGCTCATCTTTTTAAATAAACGTTACTTCCAAACTCTGAATTTATTTGTATGTTTCTTAAGCGCGTCCGCCAGTTTTTGTTAATGAAAAACCCAGTTTTGGCAAACAAGGAGCTTGCATTTCTCCACCGCATCCCACATTTCTCTCTTTGCCTTCTTTGAGGCAAAGAGACGACAGAAATAATAGGCTGTCACCTTGAGCTATGTTACGCCACTTACCTGGTAGTATATTTATTTTATTCATTTTATTTTTTTTTATCTCTTATACCAATTAAATGATGTCAAAGCAATGTCATGGAGAAACAGACATGTTTTAATCATGGCCAGGCACATTTGGAGAGCAGAGAGTGAAAACGAGTGAGAGAGCCGGACTATGGGGTGAGCGTGAACAATGAAGTGATTAATTTTAATAAGTGCCTTCTTCCAAGACTCAGTCGGAAATAACCCGTTAACAGACTTCACTTTCTTTCTTTTTTTTTTTAACGTCCTTGCCTTCTGTATGTATATTTATCTCTTCTTAAGGAATCTTTGGATTAGATTGGATTGAATTTTGGAAGCCCGTATTAAATTCTGTCATTATATTAAACCAAATCTAATAGCTGTCGGCCATTGTAATTTCATACATAACAGTGGAATTAGATTTGAACAGAACATGTCATACACCACACAGCTATAAGTCTTTGGAGATCATCTCTGTTTCAAAGCCTCTGACACTTTAAAAAGTGATATGAAATCGAGAAAAAATTGGCCAGATGCAATTTGTACATATCTCGATAATGGCCTTTCAACATAATTTATTGTTTTTGTCTTTTAATTCACATTCAAAAAAGAAAATGCTCCTTTGCAAATAAATTTGCACAGATATAACAATGAGACCTAAATATAAGCAGGTTGTTTTTCTTACCTGTAGATGGCGACATTGCTTGACAAATTAAATACATGTAACCTTGCAAAAAAAGAGTAAGTTCCCCTCTCCTTTAGAGAAATGCAGCTTGATGAATTTGATTCCTACATGCTTTACTCTACACATCTTAAGTAAAATGAGGCAAAAGTTTATAGATGTATTGTAGATACACTTTAATTCACTCGCAGTGGAGAACTATTAATGCTTTCCTTAAAGTAGGAAAAATATCTGCCACCAGCTCTTAGCTACACATTTTTTAGTCCCATTTCATTTTTCTGTTACAGTATTTTTTGTGTGTGGTTATCCTGAAGATTTGTGGTTATATTTTACTGTGAAACTTTATTGTCAACACATTCAGATTGTTGGAGATTCAGAGGACTCTCTGTCCCTCCCTCTAACTCAAGCCATCAAGGTTGTACTTTCTTGTGCTGCGAAAAATTCATAACTGACTCCCCTTGTGTTTAATCTCTTGTATGAGTAGTGAGTCAGATAAACGCTGTTGTGTGGTGGGGACCGGAAATTGCTTAAACGTACATATAGGCTACGTTGGCGCTGGAGTGTCGATGCAGACTTTTTGCGGCGAAGGGAGGGTCGAGAAGCTTGGAGACAGAGTTGGAGTAAAACTACTTTGGAAAAGTGAGAACGCCCTAACATTGAATTATGCTGTATGTGCTCTCTGTGAACGTTTAGGTTAATCTGTTATACAATTCTGGCAAATATTGTTTGCTGTGGTCCTTTTTTTTTTTTTGCTTACTGAAGTACTTTTGTTTATTTCCTTTTATTCAGAAATAATAATGTAGCTGCAAGAAAAGTGTTGATTACATCTAATTGCAAAAACACTCTACATATGCTTTGACACGTGTGCTTCATATGTGTTGGATAACAATGAATTGTATTGTTATCCAAAACCGAATACAACAAAAATGCTTTATGTGTCCTAGGTAAAAGCTGATGCACATTTGTGTCTACTCTCTGATTATCGAAATACATGAAGGTTTGGTTTTGCATGGCTCTCACTGCTCCTCAGATCTGTGTTTTGGTGCCTGGATGTGGGGGTGTTGGAGGCATCAATGAGGGCTGATGGGGGGCTTGCTCATGTCTCTCTCACACCTTCATAAAGAAAGAAATTCCCAATTCTATTTATTTGCACATGTGCCTAAAAGCATGTGCAGACGCCCACACACACGTAGACATAAAGACACAGTGATCCGTACACACCAGATTGATGTGAAATGTGAATTACATTTGCTACCTGAGTATACACTTGAATTTTGGTGCAGTTCACACATTTAGCTCATATCTTTTTCTTTCATTTCATTTTCTTTCTCTGCAACTTGCATTTTCTTTTGTTTCACTGTTGATGTCGTTTCTGTGGCTCCGTCTGCCGTCTTTGCGTCCTTACACTTGTTGTGACCTCTCCGTTTTGTTGCCATTAAGTCTACAGCATTAATTATGCAACAAGAGGGATATCTAGTTTTCCCACTTTTGTAGATGCGATTTGACCTGACACTACTAGGCAAACAGACCCACCAATGATGTTTTACCTCATGTTACCAGAACAAGACAGACGCATAAAAAGGAAATACATGAAGATTATTTTCTCTTAGCTCAGTTTCTTGTCTGCCAAGACTTGAACATACAGTAAAAGCAGAGTTTATTGAGTTCATTCCTAAATTCGTGTTGAACTCACACTTTATATGCAAAGTATCATCTCAGTCATGTCCCTGTTTGGTTTCCCTCTTCCAGTTTTGGAGAGCAGAACATATGGTGGAGGATTGATCCCACTTAGAGCATAAAATATCTGTGGTTCTTTGCTTCCTTTTCCTGGTTTCCCTCTTCCGAGTCTTTATTAAGCTAAAGTGGTGGTGGACTCACTGCTTTCCTCCTGCTCTTGGCAGAGAACCGACCAGAACAAACTAGGAAAAAGGAGAATAAGGCCTTCTAATTACCTTTAACAACACACTAAATTAAAGCATTGTGCAGAGCTGAGCAAGGGTCAGTATCCGGTGCACTTCGGTTTTCCAGCAGTCTGGGGTGAGGGTAATGCCAAAGGAATCTCTGCTGAGCTCACTCTCAGGCAAAAGGGCAAAGAGAGAGAAAGTCAAGGAAAAAGGAGAGAAAACTAAAAACAAACATACGTACACTCGAGTCAAGACTTCTCGAAGAATTGGCCATTTTTCACCTGAAAGGTCCGACGTGCAGAACCTTTCTCTTTTCCTACACTGCAGCAACAAGTCCATCGGCCTGTCTGCTGCGAGAAAACAAAGTGTTCTCAACATGTAGCAATTCATAATTCAGGGTCACTGACTGTTGTGTGGCTACATGCTGCTTTGTAAACAGATCCCAGATCAGCACCTCTTACCCTAGCCCCAACCTTGACCAGAACCTGCTTAGCAGTCAGAACGTCCTTAAAACAGCGATTAAAGGAGGCACTGCACCAGTGAGGTCTCCGACCTCTTCTCTTATCTTGTAGCACTCTGACCCGAAGATGCTGATTCTTTAACACCGTTGGCTGACCTGTGTGTGATAGTGGACCATGCTCTCTGAAACAAACAAGAGGATTGTGTGTATGCTTTCAAATCTATGTAAAATAAGCTCCCATTTTGTCATTCCAAACCTGATGATGCATTATCAGTAAACTTCTCAACATTCGTGACATGTCCCTTCTTCTGGGAGGTGGACTTGAATTTTAAAGGCATGCATGTATGTCATTTGGAGATTAAAATGTTACATTGTGTAGCCAATGGATGTAATCCACTACGGCATTGGCAGATTTCTGGAAGGAGGGGAATGTTACAAGACTGAACTTCCTATATTTTGTCTTGATACAACAATAAAGTCAAAATATTTTACTCAGAAGTCATATTTGTAACCTTAGTGTACAGCTTTGATGCAACGCAGCTTTGGGTGTGTTGGAGCCAGATACCCTAGATAGTGAAAATGCATTTATATAATTAGCTAATGAGTATTGCAGCCCAAGTACTTACCGTAATTGCAATATTTTTATTGTTCCATTTTTTTTTTTTTCTTGAAAATGTTAAACTTACAATATATTGTGCCGTCCTATCTCAGAACAAAACAAAGTAGGGCACACTTGTGAAGAGAAAGGATATGTGGTTTTCAAAGTCTTGTCTTAAGTAATTAAAAATTGTGGCTTTTTTTCAGTTTTCATCCTGTTTTCATCCAGCTTTGAGTCTTTTAGACTTCGTCTCCACTGGCTTTGAACAAGGCTTTTCCACATTTTTCTTTGCTAGAATGCCTCGTACTTGGTTTAACTTCAGTATCCCCACAGCGTGACACTGTCATCACCACGCTCTGTTTTGGTGGTTTCAGGGTAAATGACCTTTTTAGGTGAGCAGCTTAGTAGGTTTTGGAGTTGTGGCATGCCTGTCTACTTTCAGGTGATGGATTGAACAGTGAGATGATCAGACTTTTGTATTTTGAGTTAGCCCTGCTTCGAGTGCCGTAACAACTTGATCCCTGGTCTGCGTTGCGTGTCATCCTGGTCATCTTGGTTTTTGTTCACTTCATGTCGTCAACCGAACCTCTGAGGTCATTACAAAGCAGCTGGATTAAGACTGAGCTGATATCTCTTTATATATTAGGCGAGTTCTGAAAGCAGCTAACTTTGGTAGAAATCATTTGACGTGAGAATTTCCCCCAAAGCCTCTCAGTCATGCCATACTCTGTTGATCTATCGCATAAAGTCCATAGAAGTTTGTGGTTATAACATCGCTTAATGTTACAGAGGTCAAGGGTTATGAATGCTTCTGCATATTTACTGGCAGGGTTTTGTAGTAATTTACATCGGCTTTCCGAAGAGCGACAGGCAACCGCGTTTAA